CCTTTCAGGTCTAACTCAGTATTGCTGGCATCTCTGAAGATTGTTGATTCTGATAATGGTTTTCATACATCTCTTGTAAACAGGAAATATTCTGGAACTAATATGAGGTGCAAGAAAACTTGAAAAAGGTTCTCAAACATTTGCTCTAAAGTAATTTTTAAAAATGTACCTATATTGTTAAATTTTAATTTAATACTTTGCAACTATTTTCATGTTATCAAAATCATCTGAATTAACAGCATGCAAAATTGTTAACCTATCCTACACAAATTTTATTCAATGGAGATACTTGCATGAGCAAGAGAATTTTGTATTACCATTTTGGAAATGAACTACTGATTCATTCATATAATAGTTACAAAAAAGTATAATTCAGAATGCATTCTAAGAGAATATAGATTTATTTTATTTGAATGCTGCCACTCTAACCCCACCATCTGAAATCAAGAAAGAAAATGCCATTACTGATTAATGCTGTATTAGCTACACTGAGATATAATTTTATAATTCAAAAAACATTTCTGCCACACCTCCAGAATCAGTTACCTTCAATGAACTTTTGCATCTAATATTTCTGTTTAAAACTTGTCACACTAAAATCCATCCCATTCTGCTAACAAACAAACAAAATATATAACTGCATTCCCCACATAGCAATCTTACCAGATGGGCTAGATGAGCTAATTCTACTTTATTGCAAGACTATATTAACAGGATACTTGTATCCTGAAAGTACACTTCTCCCCCCCCCCCATCTCCTTTACATCTGAGAAATTAGGGTCGTCTGAGCCTCTGTCCAGCTGAGGACTATGCTGTCTCTTCTGTGACCATTCCTTAGGTAGCATCTCTGGGCCCAGTCTCCCAAAATCATTCCCATATAAAGGGATGGGCAATTAATTTTCCCAAGAGGCTACATGAGAAACTAGGTTTATGTGGAGGTCCACTGCCACTGCACTGCCATTCTGGCTTGATATGGCCCACAGGTCATAAAATGCCCAGATTTGCCATATATCATTGCACCATGCCACCCTAAAGGATAAGCTGCTTTTTCAAGTCCTGTTTCAGATCAATTTATGCTAATAGTACAGGTCCTCAAATTATAACTGTAATGGAGCCTATCTATCACAGCCAGATAAGTTGTTACAGTCATAAAAAAGATCACTCCTTAACCAACCTGATTTTATGATCTTTTTCATGATGGTCATTAAGTGACCTTTATGATCATTAAGCAAACCCATTGTTCATTATAGGAAGTTTTTTTTTTTTTGGGATCCCCTGACATATAGTCACATGACCATTGGGATTTGAAACTGGGATGTAAATACTACTGGGTAGGGTTAAGCAATTGGTTGTGAATTATATCAGACTAAGCTTTTTTCGGCCTTGGATCAGTTCCTCAACTACGCACCTTTATATCTCCATTAGGATTACTTAATCAGAATGCAATGAATTAAGGAAACAAAGTCTGCCAATCCAGATATGTAATGGAATTTGGGAATGATCCTGGAAGAAGGGTAAAGAAGTGCTGACTAGGAAATGATCAGATAAAGAAGTAGGAGCCTGCAGTTTAATAAAAATCAATTAAAGAAACTTAGAAAGGATCTACCCTAACTAAGCAGATGATAAAATGGTGGCAGAAAATTTGTACTTTTAGATTTGCAAATTTCTATTAAGGTTGACTTATAATATAGAGTTAGCTCCTTTTGTTGCCTGTCTGGTCTATTTAGGAGGCTAATAAATCTAACAGGAAAATAATTACATCTCATAATAATTTATGCCTCTTTAGAAGGCCAGATCCTGAAGTTGAAACTCAAGTTCTTTGGCCACCTAATGAGAAGGAAGGACTCTCTGGAGAAGAGCCTAATGTTGGGAAAGATTGAGGGCAATAGAAGAAGGGGACGACAGAGAATGAGATGGCTGGATGGAGTCACTGAAGCAGTAGGTGTGAATTTAAATGAACTCCAGAAGATGGTAGAGGACAGGAAGACCTGGAGGAACATTGTCCATGGGGTCGCGACGGGTCGGACACGACTTCGCAATTAACAACAACAACAACAACAACAACAATAATTTATGCATTCTTTGCCATACTCTATTTAAATATGATTTTGTCCAGGATCTGTTCTGCATGCTTTTTTCCCTAAATTTTATTATACAGCAAAACTGTGGTCTTTGAAAAATCAATCTACACAAGTATGATTAACATTTTTATTAAATAAACAGTTTATATACAAAAACTAATAAAAATGGGAGAATAAAAACAATAAACATCTCAACTGGCAATCTACTGAGCAACTGAATGCAACATTCAAGATCCAACACTAGAGTCTCTGGACAGATGGTATCTCTTCCCTTCTCCTATCTATGGATAGCCACTGCATGGCCTCTGGAACATAGTTATTACATGTTTGGAATGCAATACTGGGCAACTCCTGTAATAAATTGCATTTAAAACTAACATCCCTCAAATGTAAAATTCTGAAATGCCCTTGAATCAAAGAAAATTAACATAAACTATTCTGACAAACATTCAAGCTACATTCCTGAAAATAAAACTTCCAACATTTCAAGAGAAACTCACATAAAATAAATTTTTATCAACATAACTTTATTTTAATTCTATGTAACATTTTAAATAACTTTGTTAAAAAAACAGTAGAACAGCATGTATAAACCACCAGAATGTACAAAATAGCCATAAATTTACTGTTTATATCCTAACTACTACAGTAAAACTAGAGGACATCTGGGAAAAAAAGGGATTTCAAGAATTCTTCAATTTTTAAGCAGGTGATGATCTTCAAGTCAATCCAAGAATTATAGGTTCAAGCTAACATTAGAGATTACTTTTCTGAAAATAAGATAATGTGGTTGTTTATATTAACATACAAATCTTTCACAACATTTTCCAATTATGTTAGTTTCTCCCACATAATTATTAGACAATAAAAACAGAATTTATAGCTGTTGCTCTAATGCAGAGGTATCAAATTGCCGGCCTGTGGACTAGTTGCATCATGCAGAGGCCGCGTCCACCCAGTTCCAGCAATGCAAAGAAGCAATATATTGCAACATGTCACATGATCCGGCGACTTTGACACCCATGCTCTAATGCTAATTTAAATCAAATTATCTGTAATAATTGGAAGTAAATATGCACTAAAATGCTGTCATCGGAGTATATATGTCAGTCTCATCTAAAATATTTTGAATTTGGATGCAAATAATGTATAGATATGCACTAAACAGTAAGGTATTTTTTCACTGTTTAACTAACTAAAATTAGAGGAAGAGCTTGTTCAAGTAATATATTGCCATTTCACTATCCTGACATTTTAAAAAATCTGTTTTTTATTTCTGTGTTTTAATTATAATTTATAAGCCATTTCCAGCAAGATTTTACTAGGCAAATTATATATTTTAAGCAGAAGAAAACAGTGAAGACAAAAATCTTCAATAGGGTCTTTCTTGGCTTGTTTTCTGTTATGCAAAAATGTCCATATATTCCAAGCAGAGGTCCAGTAAAACTATAAAAACAAAAACTTAAGATTTCTCAAATTAATTAGGTATTTTCAAGGATGGCTGCATTTATGGAATTTTCCTTCTGTTTAACATTTGGCAGATGTGAAAAAGAGATTAATATTTTATATTTACCTAGGCACTTAATCTTTTCCCAAGTTTGCATGAAGGTGACTGCAAAGCTCATTTACTACAGAGCTTGTCTCCTCCCATGCAGTAAGTTTATGCCAATCAGGTGATTTAAACCATGCTTCTTTTCTAAATTTGTCACTTCTGTTAGTCATTTCCCTCTTCTTTTTTTGTATTTATAATACAGTTGTTTCTAAGTTATCCAAGATATAGTGAAGACTAGTCTTCACAAGTTCAAAAAGTTCCAAGTTTTTTTACTTGGAAATTAATTGCTCCATAAACATACTTCCTAACTGTCAAGAAGTTCTGTGAAAAAGCACAGAAGGATATATGAAGGAATTTGACAACTCAGAATCATTACCGGATAAGCTCTGGCATATATTAACTTCTCAACATCCATGACAGCAAGTACCACATTACCCTGAAAATAAGACTGGTCTTATATTAATTTTTGCTCCAAAAGACGCATTAGGGCTTATTTTCTGGTTAGAACTTATTTTCAATGAAATATGGTACTAAATGCATCCGTCTGCCTGACAGTCTTAACTGAGGCTTATATTTGGAGTGGAGCTTATATTATGAGTGTCCTGAAAAAATCACAGTTGGGCTTATTTTCCGGTTGGGTATTATTTTGGGGAAAACATGGTAGCAGTATCAAGACAGCCTTGGCTGATCTTCAAAAAAGCTGAACTGGATCTAACCTTATTAATTCTTGTATAGAACACCAGTAAGAAATCCTTGGGCAAAAGAGTAGCCCGAGAAGTCCAAAAAACCCCCAAACCCCATACATGTACCCAGTCCCATGCCAGAAGATGGCAATAGCAAATTACTTCCGTATTGTTGCCCAAAACACCCCACATGGATGCAAACTTGATTTGAGGGAGACTGAAATCCCCATTCAGGTATTCTACCTCTATGTCAACATAGAGTTAAAACAGAATAATTAAAACTGCTCAGAGCTATTAAATCCTGCCCCCCAAAGACAAAACACACTACTTGTGTTTTAATTGAACACAAGTAAGGAAAAACAAAAATACCGAGAACCCAGTTTTTGCGCAAAAAAATTAAACTACAATGAGGGAGGGGAGGAAATTTAAGATGTTGTCAATCACCTGAGGGGAAACTACTATGTAATGTTAAGAGGGAAAGGATAGGAGGGAGATAACTAAGATTAGTAACAATCCCCACATTGCAAGTTAGAAATAAAAAGTGTTATGAGTCTGAAAAGCAGAGTATGCAAACTTATCACAAAAATCATCAATAGTACTTACGCTAGTCATGAATTTATATCTCTTGATTTCAATATATCTACTTCAACTAAAACTAAATGTAAAAAAAACATTTTTTCATACCTTTTCCTTTCAACTGTGTGAAGAGGATGACGCATTCTTTATTCAAAAGATTACGTATATTGTATACATTCCCTACAATGAAATAGTTTCCATTATAGAACAAATAATTCAACTGTTTCAAAAATAAGATGCATAGTTACTTAGTCACATTTGGACATTCCTCCTAAGCATTTCAATATTAAATAACAAAACCCTTCCAAATTTAATTTACTACCCAGATTAATCTGTTTTTTTCCCCATGAACTAGCTATCATCAAGTATTCATACATATGACTCCTGGTCACCTTGCTATTTTATATGTACATTTTAATAACCAATGGAGTACTGAACAAGAGATTCCTATTTTGCTTACATTATGGGGAAGAGGGGTTAACATTAACGCTCAGATTCTTCAATAGACCTTGGATTACATTTTATCTGGCCTCATTCTACATTGTTGCAGAAAGGTCTTGAGTAAGAATTAATGTTAATATTCTCATTTATTCATATCCTTTTGAACTATATTCCTCTCCCTATTTTATTGAGCCTTCCTTGATTAGGCTGTAAAAAAGAAAGGATGGAAGGAAAACTAAAACTGACAGCTGAACCTATAGACTAAGAGTGGATTGGACCTCTTCCAGGTGACTGAAAGTAAAAGGTTGAAAATACAGAAGTTTAAAATATTTTTGAAAAAAATTATTTATGTCAGTGAACTCAGAAGAATTCATCTTTTGTCTGGCTGTAAAACTTTCAAGCAGAGGAATACAGACTAGCATTCCTTTTTAAAAAGTATTCCTTTAAATCTCTTCTCATGTTCTTTTCAATTATATGTCCACAGAACAAAGGGAAAAAAAATGACTTTCATACTTCTATAATGGATGTTTTTAAAAACTTTTAAAAGTTAATAGAGCTGTGCAATGGTTTGGGTTTGGTTCCAAAAAGATGCTCCCAAAGAAAGCTTAGAGTATACACTTCAGATCTCTCTTCTTTCTAGAATTTTCCCGCAAATGTAGAGTCCAATTTTTTTATCAATACCATTCCACATGATCAAACACTGCCACTGGCTGGTTTAACAGGATGAGTTTCATTTCTGTGTTGTGTCATACCATCTTTGATCTTCTGTACAGGCATTTGGCATGATATTAAAGGGGTAGGCAGTGCAGGCAACAGTGTGGGGTGCTTCTGGTAGAATATGGTTGTACCATTATGGACATTTTTTCCAGTTTTTGCTATTGGTGCAATGCCTATCTGCTGCCAAACCATATCATCGCTGAAATGGTCAAGAAAGGAAACACCTAATGACCAATGAGCCTTCACACCCCCATGCTTAGCACTTTTGGGGACTGACCACCACTCAGCAGCATATAGATCTACTGAACAGACCATCATTTTATACTTTTGGTGAACTGGCATATACCTATCACAGAGCAATCCAATGATTTCTACAAGAACCATGCTGCATTTACCCTTGTGCGCATTATTTCATTAATGCTATTATATTTTGCAGATGGGATCTTAAGTAATAGAAGTTTGTTTTCATCACTGCTGACCTGGATGGAGATATTCAGTTTAGTTTCTAGATACTCAGTCTTGAGATGCAAACCCAGTTGATTAAGGTCATTCTATGTCTAGACATAGCACTGCAGGTCTTCCCTAATGTCAGCTGTGAGCGGACATTGTCAGGTAGAGCAAAGCCCAGGGGGCACTGTGATACAATTTTTTTTGTGATGGCAAGAATGAACAGCAATTCTCATTCACATAGCATCTTTCTGCAACTCTTTAAAACAGTTATATCTTTTCTCAGCTACAAACTATATATAAAAACTCTGCTCCATCCTAAATTGTTAATGAAATTGATCTTGAAGTACAATCAGATCATAAATTTGTGCAAAATTTGTTTTACGTTTGGAACAAATTAATTTCATTTGTAGTGTTCTGAGGTTGGTTGTGTTCTAACAGAACAATACTCTAAGCAACATAGGTCATCTGTCAGACTGAAACTTATAAAGTTTTTTTTTTATTGAAAGTTTTATAAATTTTACAAAAAAACAAAAACAATACAAAACAAAAAACAACATATACAAAAAAAAATAAAAAACTAAACATTACATATAAAAAAAACCCCCCATCCCCCACCCCTCACAAACACCCTCCCTTCCCCCCTTATAAAGTTTTCAATAGTCTGACCTGAAGAACTTGTGATGAGAAACAACTGATTCATTATCCTGCAAAAGATTTACTGATTTAAAGATATGCAAATATGGATTGTTTACCTCCCACGTAAATCCAAAGCATAACACTGTCCTAAAAATATTTTTCGGTAGATTTCTTTTAAATAAACAGACTTACAGCAGATGGAATGGACTACTTCAGTATCTACTCTATTGGCCTAACAGTCAAAAATAAGGGAAAAAATATTTTAAAAAAAAGAAGCAGCTTTGTTTTTTGTTCCTATTGCTTTCTCTGACTGGAACACTCACAAATTGTTCAAACATCTAAACTTTCCAAAGAACAACTTAAGATGTTTTTCTGATAAAACACAACCAATTCAAAACATTGTAGATGAGATTCCTTGTACATTTTCAAGAAATGACTAGAAATTTTAATTTTATCTGTTCCCATGTCTTGTGTGAAGAGACAGAGAGCATGTACTTGTGGTTTTTTATGAACAGAAGCCATCGTTCTTAATCAGACAAATATGCATAACAAATACAGGTAGTCTTAGACTTACAACATTTGAGTCCAAAATTTCCATTGCTAAGCAAGACAGTTATTAAATAAATTTTGTTCCATTTTATAACTTTTCTTGCCACAGCTGTTAAGTGAATCACTGCAATTGTTATGTTAGTAATATGGTTAAATAAATCTGACTTTCCCATTGACTTTACTTGTCAGAAGGGCAGGGAAAGTGATCACATGACCCCAAAGCATTGCAAACATAATAAATACATGCCAGTTGCCAAGTGTTGGAATTTTGATCATGTGAACATGAAGATTCTGCAATGATTGTGTAAAAAACAGTCATAAGTAATGTTTTTCAATGCCCTTATAACTCCAAATGGTCATTAAATGAATGGTTGTAAGTCAAGGACTACCTGTATGATGATACTATTACCCAAAAAATAAAAATATTTACTTTATTAAATGTTTGCATTTCTTTTTATTTTCACCCTTTCTAATAGGAAAAATATCAGTTCGCTTACCTGGTGGAATAAAAAAGTAGTTTCCAGCAGTCAAACAATAGCTTTGATCATAGAGTGTTAGAAGAAGTTTACCACAACTAATGTGAAAAACCTTGAAAAATGGGAGCCATAAGCATAATTTTAATTGCATGTTTTATTCCCTGGAAACATAATAGCAAATTATTTTCTTTAATTTTAAAATTAATCTGAATCTTGACTCTTAAGTCTATCTACATAAAAATAAGATGGAGCTGCTGGTTATGCATTGCATTTGAATTTTCCAGAGGCTACTGGGAAGAGCTGGTAGCTGGGTTGAACGGGACTGAGACAAAGTTCAGTGAAGCGAGGTAAGCACCTGGAAGATGAGTTGCTGGTTGCATCTGCATTGCATTGGAATTACCCAGAGGCTGCTGGGAAGAGCTGTTAGCTATGAGGTTAGGGGAACTGAGATAAAGTCCAGTGGAGCGAGTTAAGCACTGGGAAGCTGAGCTGCTGGTTGCATCTGCATAATATTTGAATTTCCCAGAGGCTGTTGGGAAGAGCTGCTTTCTGTGAGACAAAGTCCAGTTAAGCGAGGTAGCAGCCCACAAATCATATAACTAAAACTCTAAATCAGCAGTAGTACATTCAGGGTAAGTGCATCTGTGATTACAATTTTATTTTATTTCAGAATGTCTGGATTAGTTCAGTGAAATACTTGTTTTGCAGATGTCTTTGGGGTACTCTTTTCAAATTTGGACTTTGTCATATTTGTAAACAAATCAGTAATCTGCAGGGACAGATTGCTTATCTAGCGTCTCTAGTCCATCTCTTCAAGCAGAAATTAGCCATTCTGCTCAATTGAGCTACTATGCTATCAGCCCCCTCTACCACAAAGATCCTGCAGGAAAAAGGCAGTATGGACAACCGTGGAATCTAGCAGGATGAAAGCTGTGAATCATAAATACAAAGTTTTCACTGTGCACAACAGATACAGTGTCCTTGCTGATCTTAATAGGAATACTAAGGTGGCAGGTCAAGGTAGTTATGATGATGACAACTCAAATAAGCAGGGGGTCATGGTCCAAGACGAAGAACTGGTTTGGGATAGAGTAAAGTGTGAATCAGATATTACACACTAGTTGTGCAAGAAGAGCAAGGCATCCAAAAAGAGAAGCTACCTTCTGGTTGATGATTCAGTTACAAGGGAAGTAAATTTAGAAAACGATAGGTTTTGAAAGAGGTCAGGTGTCTGCCACGTGCTACTGCCAGCAGAGACAAGAGGTGTATTTTTTAAAATAGTCAAGAATGCCAGTAAGGATTATGAGGTTGATGCTATTGTACATCTTGGCACGAATGATCTGTCCCCAAAAGATATACTTTCTGTGCAGAATGATTTCCAGAGTTTGGGACAGGAACTTAGTAGGACAGCCTATAGCAACAATGGCGAATCTTTTGGAGACCGAGTGCCCAAACTGCAACCCAAAACCCACTTATTTTTCGCAAAGTGCCCAGACGCATTAGCATTGCACTCGCACTAGCAAGTTTTGTGTAGGTGTTAGCCTGACCTGAGTGTCGTGCCATTTGTGCTAGCATCACCACAAACATCACGCAGGCGCTAGCACCGCCCCAAGCATTATGGGGGCGCTAGTGCTGCCCCGAGCATTGCACGTGCACTTATGGCTGTTTGCAGCATATGCGCCATTTACATGTGTGCATAAAAGTGCCTGCCCCTTCCTTTCCCTCCAAGCCACTAACCCAGAAAGGTTAGGGACCTCTATGCTAACAGATTTCAAGCTTCCATCCATTTCTATCCAAGTCTGAGGTACTTCTATCCAAAGCTTGGGGATTTCAACAGTTTTTATTAGAATAGAAGGTTATTCATATAAACTTCAGTTTCCAATATTTTGATAATAAGAAAACCTGCTATTCCCCTAGGGTTTCCTGCCTACGCAGGGGGTTGGACTAGAAGACCTCCAAGATCCCTTCCAACTCCATTATTCTATTCTATTCTATTCTATTCTATTCTATTCTATTCTATTCTATTCTATTCTATTCTATTCTATTCTATTCCATCGTATCGTATTATTCTACTCTAAGATCTACAACACTAGTTGCATTTTGGTTGTACTCTAAATCCAAATTATATTTGTCAGAGGCAGGAATAGGCTTACAGAATCCTATACCTAATAATATTAAGAGACAGTAATGCTCTGGTGAGTCACATCATTTCATTAATTATTGAAACATTATATCCAGGTGTTTTGCAAATGCCTTGAAAACTAATTGCTAAACTCTATGTCATTTCATCATAACCCTAAAGATTTCCATTCATTTCCAAGAAAAATCAAAGAGTAGCTTATTCCTTAAAAAAACCAAGAACAGCCTATCACCAGAGTATGAAGGATATCAGAACCGATATATTTAGAAAGAAAATGCACGTCTCGTGAGTCTGTGAATTATCTTATAAAACAACATTCAATCTACTATATATTTCTTAACAGCACAACAGGGCTCATGTTTTCCAGTTCCTGATGGGAAGAATAGTTGTTTATTTGTAAATTGTTAATTGGTCTCAATATCAGAGTTTAGATGATCAAATTTGCAACTGTACACCCTAAACAAGTTAGAATTTGATAATGGCAAACACTAGACTCTTATTTCCAATCTGATTCATCTATTAATAGAAAACGGAGATTGTGCTGGACCAGTTATGTAATCTTCTGGCTAGAGTATATACTTGAGAATTGTGTTATTGTGTATAGCATTTACAGAGTTAATGTTGTATCATTGTGAGAACTGTATGTTAGAATGTTTGGCATTTAAAAGGTTAAGCGCTGTCTCCCTAAGAGATGGCTTATGGGTAATGTAGTTTAGCTGTTTTAGTGAATCCTATATTCATCAAGTCAGTGGGAGGGGCCACTAAGTTCATCACAGGATATCCTGGCTACGTGTCAGCTTGTGAAGAATGCCTTTGTGTGAAATCAGCATGGAGATGCATGTAGGGACATCGTCTACAACCACGCTAGAGCTAGTATGAAGGAATTACTGTTTTTACCTACGTAAAATGGACAAATGTCAGACGGTCAGAAAGTAAGTTCTGTTAAGAATTCCTGGAATAAATATTTGTTTAAAAACCATTTTTGCGTTGAGTTGACCCTGCCTGGACTTGAATTACAAAGCATCTTAGTTCAGGTTCCAGAACAGAGATGTTTTTTCCCCCTGCAGCTTTTTCTGTAAGAAACAAATAACCTAATGGCCTCCCTCTCTTCCACTGTTCACTTGAGGCAAATTCTTAAAATTATTTACACAAATGTAATTCCTAGGGTAGCTGGGATTTGGATAGAAATCTGGTAGATCTACTTTTATTCATCTATGAAGCTTAAGATTTCACTTTTGACATGAAGCCTTTCCTCTTCTCTTTGAAGCAAAACTAAACTGATGAAGGAGACATTCCTTCCACTAGACTCAAATCTATGCCTTGCTTCTAACTAGAAATGGAATTAGGAGCGCTAGCGGCACAGTGGTTAGAATTCAGTATTGCAGGCTAACTCTGCCCACTGCCAGGAGTTTGATCCTGATCAGCTCAAGGTTGATTCAGCCTTCCATCCTTCAGAGGTCAGTAAAATGAAGACCCAGATTCTTGGGGGTAGTATGCTGACGTTGTAAGCTACCCAGAGAATGCTGTCAAGAGATATGGGATGGTATATAAGTCTACATGCTACTGCTAATTAACTCTTTGTTAGCTCCATTATTGACCTAAAATATGGTCAACAATATGAGATATGACAAACGTAAGTCCTTTTTGTACCAATTGTCTCATTTAGTGACTATTTAAACTTATACTGTATTTGAAGTATAAACCCACTCCCCAGCTTTCCAACCAACTTTTCTTGCATTTATGATTGTGACAGTCACATGATCACCATTTGGATGCTTTGCAATTGGTACATTATCATTGCAGCATCCTCCAGTCATGTGATTTCCATTTGCATGCTTTATAACTGATTTCTAACAAGCAGAGTTAATGGAGAACACGAAAGCAAAATTGCAAGCCATGGTCACAAGTTGAACATAGTTAATGACCCCAGTGATTCACTTAATGATCAAAAGGGAAGTGATCTAAACTTATCATGGTCATGTGGTTTTGTACATAATGTCTGCAGTACTTAGTAAAGCCGTTCCAGTTTCAATTGTGACCGCTAAACAAGGACAATTTGGTCCACAAAATTTCAATACTAGTTTCTTGCCACAAGAAAAACAAAACAGTAACTCCTGGTTTAAGGACATCTTGCAAACAAAAATCTTTAAGCAAATTCCCCCTTGCTTAAAGATTAATGTGCTAACACAAGGGTCCCCAACCTGTGGGCTGCAGCCCACTACCAGCTGCATGAGTGGTTGGCCAGTATACGTGTGTGTGCACATACTCATCCCCCCACTCGCGCTAGCGCCACTGCAACTTTTGTGTAGGCGCTACCTGCCCTGAGTGTTGTGCAGGCGCTAGTAGCCATTTGGGATGCATAGGCACTAGAATTACCGTGAGCATCATGCAGGCCTTAGCGTCCCCCGAGCATAGTGGGGGTGCTAGTGCTGCCCCGAGTGTTGCACTTGCACTTGTGGCCCTGTTTGTGGCATATGTGCCCCCATTTGCATGTGTGCATTAAAGTGCCTACCCCTTCCTCCGGGCCACCAACCCAGAAAGGTTAGGGACTTCTGTGCTAACAGATTTCAAGCTTCCATCCATTTCTATCCAAGTCTGAGGGACCTCTATCAAAAGTTTGGGGATTTCAATAGTTTTTATTAGAATAGGTTATTCATTTAAACTTCAGTTTCCAATATTTTGATAAGAAAATCTGCTGTTCTCCTAGGTCACGGGTCAGCAACCCGTGGCTTTGGAGCCGCATGCAGCTCTTTCAGCCTTCTATTGTGGCTCCAGTCCTCCTCCATCATTTGCAGAGAGAGAGAGAGAGAGAGACAGACAGACAGACAGAGGCAATTGCGCTTTGCTTCCCATCTCTCTCTCCTGATTGACCCTGCACCCGGGCGCCCCACTCCCTGGGAGAAGCGTGGCCAGGAAATCCCTTTCCCGAGCTGGCTCCATCCGAGGCACATGTGGTCAAGAAGCCGCACAGG